TCCTGGAGATTTGACTCCTCACCCCAGAGCTCTGTGAAATCCAGGATCTCTGCATAGGTCCATGTTGGGGCCCTCTTCCACCCCGAGTCAGGGGCTTCTGAGGTGGCTGCTGGTGTGCTTGCAGCCGTGGGTTGCTCAGAGGGATTGCTGGGTCTGCCATGGCTGCAGGGAAGGCTGTGCAGGGTCCTGCAGTGTGGCACTATGCAAGCAGGGCCTGCCACAAGCCCTTTCCCTCTACCTGCAGCTTTAAAGCCTGCAGGGGAAAATAAACTTTTGAGTTTTGAGGGGTTTAGTCAGAGAGGCCACCAGGGCAATTGTGTGAAGCCCAGAAGATCACTTATTTTGAAATAAGCACAGTTGTGTTGTCCACACTCACCCTATTTTGAAATAGCAATTTCAAAACCGGTGTTATTCCTCATGAAATGAACGCCTGTTATTTCAAAATAAGAAGCCCATAATTTTGAAATAATTTAAAAATAACGTTCTTACTTTGTGAACACTCACCTTGTTATTTCTAAATAATGTGAAATATTTCAAAATAACTATAGTGTAGACATGCCCAAAAGCATCAAGCCTCAGAGAACTCTTACAAAAACAAGGCACCACATCACCATTAAAGAGCAAAGTAGAATGTATGTTCCTCTGCGGTTGGCCATTTTTGAGGACTTGTGTGAAGGGGAGGGGACAAAGAAATGGCCTTACCTCCTTCTTATCCCTCTAAGCCACTTTTCCTGGCTGTGAAGATGGTTAAAAGAGAAGAGGCTCCTTGTTTCCTCATCTTCCTTTGCATAGGCAAGAGTCAGGCACAGTCTGACACTTAATCACATGCATACCTGTAAAGTGCAGCAACATGCACTGCAGAAACTGTCTGTTACATGACTATGTGGTAACATTACAGAGTGTAATGAACATTTATTCTGAATGAATCCCTGAATGTAGGGATGATGGACCAGCACTCATCTGCATTCTCTAATATTTCTAATACTTAACAATTAGAAAAGTTGGTAAGTGTCAAAATGTTGTCAACTGAAGTTAATACATGTCAAATTAAAAACTTTTATCATATTTTCTTGTGCATTTGTGAAATCTACTGCTGGGATTTCCTTGCATCTGTATCATGGTAGCAGAGAATCCTGTATTTCCAAACATTCATACAGTTCCTGTAGACTTCAGTGCATGCTTTTCTAAGGTAGAATTGAATGTGTTATTATTTACAAGGAAAGGGTGTCCCACAAAAACACAACCCATCATTTCTAGCTACGAGACATACTAGTTTGCCAGTATTTTGTACATCCGGTTGATGCAGCCTCAGATTAGATTAACTGTCTGTCTGTGTGTGCCTTCCATTTTAGGGACTTCCAGGTCTTCCAGGAGCTCCTGGTGAACAAGGACCCGAAGGATTTGGATTACCAGGACCTAAGGTACAGGCCATTAAACTCATATATAAAGCAAATTGTCCTTTACAGAGATATTATTTCCTTCAGATAGGTTATATTCAAAATGCAGTCAGATATTTTCATCCCAATTTGGTTTAGTATCTAAAATATCCCTTACAGAGATTTCTAGTTTGTGGAGAGAAGGTGTACTTTTTTCATGTATTATTGGATATATTCTTCTGTATTTTTCAAAAGTATATTGGTTGATCACAGACCAAATATTCTACTTATGCAAGGCCGTTAAAGCCCAAGGGCTTTTCATTTTCTCTTAAGAAGACACTTGTAACCAATTTAGAGTAGAAATAATTATAATTTGCCTAATGAAAATCTCAAGCAGCTTTCCTGATGGATACTAGTAATTATTAAATGAATAGTCCATGGTCAAACTGGGGAAGGACAATGAAGGGCTATTAGGGACTATTTGCTCAAATGGAAGGAGCTCAAAGAAATCTATAAAACATAGGGAGAGCCCAGATTCTGCTCCAGGTGAAATCAATGGCAAAATTCCATTGATACCAAAAGGCACTCGATCAGCTCTATAATTAACAAACGTGTAACACTGCTATGTTTTTAGATATGACGTAGTATCACCATAAATGTAATTGCCCTTTAATGGTGCACAGTGGTACATGTATTATCTGCTGTGTTTCATTCTTTCATTAAACATTGCTTCAGAATTCAGTTATCCCTGTCAGAATTTGATGCCAGTTAAGTGTTAAAAATAATCTTTTAGCCCTTATAGGTCTTTCCAATGACTACTGAGTATACAAAGCACAATTGGATATCACTTTACTATTCTATGAAGGTCACCTAGAATGTCCTGACAATTGTTGAGATGGAGGGGGGGAGGGGAGGAGCTGGCAAGGAGATTTCAATTATACTTTGATGAGATTTCCACAATTATTTTATCGCATTTTATCCTTCTTGGCATAAAACTCCCTCCTAATGTGACCAGGATCCTGACTGTTCCAGGCCCGAGAGGAGAAAGAGTCACTAAATAATGTGCAGTCTAATTCAGCTCCCATTAGAGTCAAAGGAAAGACTCCCATTGGCTCTGTGGCAGCGGGTTCAAACCCTGGCCACTCCATAATAAGAGTACTGCCTTTATAGTGTAGTCATGACAAAAGCCATTTGCGCCAGTTAAGGAGCTAGTCTTTTGCTCTTCAGTAAAACTGGACAACTTGCCAGTGCTCATTCCTAGTTTAATATATTTTTTGTGACCCATCTTGCCCTGCTCATTAGTCAGCCTTGTTCAGACATGTGCTTTGGTATTTAACTAAGTCTTCTATGTCCTTTTGTCGCCCTTTGAGCATGCAGACAATGGAAATAATAAAAAAAGTGAAATTCTGATATTCACTTGGGGCAGATGTAATTTCCCAATTTAATGGGTGCACTACACTCAGTTATACAATAAGTGTGGTGGGGAGCCCAAAACTATAGGCGATTGTCTTCTACTCCTTGGGATGGACTGAACTCCTCACTCTGGGCATAGTGAACTGGCACAAAGGGTCAAAATGTCACTCAGGCAACCACCAAATCTGAGTGGCACTAAATCACAGTGATGAGTGTGGACAGCTTGGCCCACTCCCACACACAGAAAACATCACTGAGTGTAGGTTGGGTTAAGTCTTCACCCTCCCTAGTCTCTCAGTCCTCAAGTCTCCCCCTGCTTTGTTGGGAGATGTATATGTTTGCCCAGGGTCCAGTGAAAATGACTCTCCTTCATAATGTGTCAATATAAATACCTATCAGTAGTGTATAAAAATCAGTGTGTTTGCATCTTTGGTTTCATAATTTCTGTGGGTGCCATTGAACCTGTAAACCCAAGCCTGAATTCAATAGGTGTTTTCACAAATATCAATTTTCAGGGTGATCCAGGTGTTAGAGGACCTGTTGGTCTCCCAGGTCCACCAGGAGAAGGCCTTCCAGGACCAAAAGTAAGCGAATTAAACAGTTATGTCTCACTTTATCAACAACTTTCTTAAAAAAGAAAAAAAGAAATACAAGGTATATACAGTATTACATACATGTGTGTGTGTCTGTCTGTAAGTCCGTTTGTTCAAGAATACCTCCTAAATGGGAAGAGCTAGGGTAACCAAATTTGGTATGCAGCTTCCTCTTACCCTTACTTAAAGCAAGGTCAGGGTTTGGTAGTTCCAGGAGAACTGGAAGCCCTGGGGAAAGGACAGTTTTCCATAACATGCTTCTGTTCAGAGGGATGCTATATGAGAGTGGCCACTGGGGGCAGCCACACCACCAAGGGAGTATCCAGCAGGGCTGAGGCTCTATTTTGCCTGTGAGCACGATGAATAGCCCTCCTACCCCTAAACCCTTTTCCCCCCTCCTTGCCCTTAGCCGCAGCCCCAGAGTGGGGGAAATAACAGGCCCCGGACGGGCTGCAGGGGAGGAAGCCTGCACAGCAGGTAGGAAGAGCAGGCCCCGGACTGAGTAAGTCAGCTAGTATACAAATATACATATACACTCACACTGCAATATATTCTGTCTCCATGCTACTCTGGAAACAACTAGTCCCATGAGTAAGATAAAAGAAGTCAGTGTCCTCATTTTGCAAAAGGGAAATCAGAGATAAAAAAATTAAAGTGACTCACCCAGGCCAAGTGCTAGTTTGTCTCTCACTATGTATGGAAACAAAGAAATTAGTTAATTTAATGATTGAGACCTGTCAAAGAAGTGTCACTTTTTCAAAGCTTATTATGAGGAGGATCCAGCCTCCCTACAGTCCTGAGCCAGAAATCCCTTGGATGTAACAGAAATGCTTACATGGGATAGGTGGTTTTGCATAGCCCTCACACTATCACTATCCCACAAGTTGGCATGGCAGCAGTGTCTTGGCCAATGGAACTCTGACTACACTGATCAAATGGTACACACTTTCAGGGATGGGTATGTCTCTTGCAAAAGCCAATAAAGTCAAAAGGCTGCAGTAGCAACCAAAGAGCAGCCCCAGCCTGTTGCACTGGGTACAGGATTGGGTCTGTTAGTGGAATCCACTGTATGGGTAGATAAGGGGTCGTCAATCTTTTCAAACCAAAGAGCCAAACAACATCAAAATTCAGAACAAGTGGTCAACAAAGAGTTGTATAAAATGCCCATTTACATGACTGAAAATGTACATGATGATTAATAATAGCATAAATGAAACATTATACTCAGACTTTATTTAATGGGACTTCTGCTGCTGCATCTTTTAACACATTTCTTTGAAGTTTACATTATAACTAGCCAAATCCAGCTTCATGCATGCATTCAGGCTGTCTTTTGTCAATCTTATGGCAAGGAACTGGGGATGTGAGGGTGCAGGAGTCTGGATTGGGATGTATAAGGGGCTCAAGGCAGGGGGTTGGGTGAATGATGGGCTTGGGGCACAGGGTTGTGGTGGGGGGTGCAGGAGTGTTATGGCAGAGGGTTGGGGATGTGGGGGTGCAGGAGTCAGAGTTGGGGTATATGAAGGGCTCAGGGCAGGGAATTGGAGTGTGTGTGGGAGGTTCAGGAGGCAAGGCAGGGTGCTGGGGGTGGGAAACTTAGTATGTAGGGGGTGGGCCCTAAGACCAGATTGCCTTTCCTGGCCAGGACTGGTCTGCTGTATCCAGGCAGCAGTGGATCACTGCAGACGGATCAGACCCTCCCCACCTATCTGTGCTTCATAGAATCAGAGAACACTAGAACTGGAAAGGACCTCAAGAGGTCATGGAGTCCAGTCCCCTGCCCTCATGGCAGGACCCAGAACTGTCTAGACCATCCCTGATAGACATTTATCTAACCTGCTCTTAAATATCTCCAGAGATGGAGATTTCACAACCTCCCCAGGCAACTTATTCCAGTGTTTCACCACCCTGACAGGAAGTTTTTCCTAATGTCCAACCTAAATCTCCCTTGCTGCAGCTTAAGCCCATTGCTTCTTGTTCTATCTTCAGAGGCCAAGGAAAACAATTTTTCTCCTTCTTCCTTGTGACACCCTTTTAGATATCTGAAAACCGCTATCATGTCCCCTCTCAGTCTTCTCTTTTCCAAACTAAACAAGCCCAATTCTTTCAGTCTTCCTTCATAGGTCATGTTCTCTAGACCTTTAATCATTCTTGTTGCTCTTCTCTGGACCCTCTCCAATTTCTCCACATCTTTCTTGAAATGTGGTACCCATAACTAGACACAATATTTCAATTGAGGCTTGATAGCGCAGCGTAGAGCGGAAGAATGACTTTGCTGGTATAAAGCAATGTGAAATTGTGAGCAAAAGGCAGGCTCTGCTCACAGACTCTGGTAAGAACAGGGATCCCCTTGAGATTATCGCTTGATGAGCTGAAACAGCACTGAGCCCACCTATCTTCCCTTTGGGGTGCCCCACTGCCAGTCCTGCTGGGCCAGAATACCCAACTGTACAGTTCCAATTTGTCCTTATTAAACTTCATCCTGTTTATCTCAGATCATTTCTCCAATATGTCCAGATCATTTTGAATTATGACCCTATCCTCCAAAGCAGTTGCAACCCCTCCCAGCTTGGTATCATCTGCAAATTTAATAAGTGTACTCTCTATGTCAATATCTAAATTGTTGATGAAGATATTGAACAGAACCAGTCCCAAAACAGACCCCTGCGGAACTCCACTTGTTATGCCTTTCCAGCAGGATTGTGAACTGTTAATAACTACTCTCTGGGAATGGTTATCCAGCCAATTATGCACCCACCTCATAGTAGCCCCATCTAAGTTGTATTTGTCTAGTTTATTGATAAGAATATCATGTGAGACTGTATCAAATGCCTTACTAAAGTCTAGGTATACCACATCCACCGCTTCTCCCTTATCCACAAGACTTGTTATACTATCAAAGAAAGCTATCAGATTGGTTTGACGTGATTTGTTCTTTACAAATCCATGCTGGCTGTTCCCTATCACCTTATTATCTTCCAAGTGTTTGCAGATGATTTCCTTAATTACTTGCTCCATTATCCTTCCTGGCACAGAAGTTAAACTGACTGGTCTGTAGTTTCCTGGGTTGTTCTTATTTCCCTTTTTATAGATGGGCACTATATTTGCCCTTTTCCAGTCTTCTGGAATCTCTCCTATTTTCCATGATTTTCCAAAGATGATAGCTAAAGGCTCAGATACCTCCTCTATCAGCTCCTTGCGTATTCTAAGATGCATTTCATCAGGCCTTGGTGACTTGCAGACATCTAACTTTTCTAAGTGATGTTTAACTTGTTCTTTTATCTTCTAAACCAACGCCCTGCCCATTAGCATTCATTGTATTAGGCATTCCTTCATCAGACTTCTCGGTGAAGACCAAAACAAATAAGTCATTAAGCATTTCTGCCATTTCCAGGTTTCCTGTTACTGTGTCTCCCTCCTCTCTGAGCATTGGGCCTACCCTGTCCTTGGTCTTGCTCTTGCTTTTAATGTATTTATAGAATGTCTTCTTGTGTCCCTTAATGTCTGTAACTAGTTTGAGCTCATTTTGTGCCTTTGCCTTTCTAATCTTGCCCCTGCATACCAGTATTGTTTGCCTATATTCATCCTTTGTAATTTGTCCTAGATTCCATTTTTATATGACTCCTTTTTTATTTTTAGATCATGCAATATCTCCTGGTTAAGCCAAGGCGATCTTTTGCCATATTTTCTGTCTCTCCTACACAACGGAATATCTTGCTTTTGGGCCCTTAATAATGTCTCTTTGAAAAACTGCCAACTCTCTTCAGTTGTTTTTCCCCTCAGTCTTGCTTCCCATGGGACCTTACCTACCAGCTCTCTGAGTTTACCAAAATCTGCCTTTAGCAGAATGGGGGGCTGCCACCAGCCCTTCCTGCACCCAGAAGGAGGATGGACCATGGGGCCTTCCCCAGGATTGGGGCTGGGGACGGGACGCTTCCCAATTATGGCCTTGTTGGCCCCAGCTCTGGCACATGGAGCAAGCCACAGGCAGAGAAATGAGAGGGGTCCCAGTGGCCCTAATGGATAAGGCCTCTGGAGCCTTAGATTGTAGGCCTGAGTCCCATCAAGGGACAGGCTGTAGTATTAAATGTTAGAATATTTATTTTCTAATTTTGACCAATGGATCTAGTGAGAATTATTAAAGAGCTATATGTGTATAAAACTCATTCATATTAGAATGTGTTGGTTGCAGTTATCTTCATTTGAGTATTATAGAAAAACCATAATTTGCTTTGGAATTCTATTTAAAATTAAAAGTTTATAATTAGGCAACAAAGAACCGTTTATTTATTTTGCCATATAATTCGGGCATGTATCTTTAAGTGTTTTTAAATGAATTTAGTGCTGGTGGATTGGGCTATATTGGAAATTATAGTTCTTTATCCACAGTGCAACCTTTTCCCTACCGATGCCCTGCATCCTTTCACTGGAGGGTTCACCTCCAAGGGTAAGAGTGATTCACCATCATTGCCCAGTCAGTCTTTAGTGACTCTTCTGAAAGCTGAACCATAATTCAGCCATTAGTTATTTGATAAAATTGCAGGGGCGGGGAGGGAATCTCCTTGTTGTTTTTCTGATTAATCCTGTCCATGGTACTTCTAGGACATCACACATTTTATAGAGGAGTAACTTGAAATTATGTGATGGTATAAGAATTTGTGATGTGTGTTTATTAGATACTGTGTTTAACATGTGTGGATTTTTCTCCATTTAGGGAAATGTAGGACGGCAAGGGTCCCCAGGGCCCCTGGGGCCTCCAGGAGAAGGTATTCAGGGATCTAAGGTATAAAGAATCAGTGACTTCAATGCTCATATATAGATCAGGGGAGAACCTGACCATCATAATATAAAGGAAGTTGAGAAACAGATTGCCTATTATTGCGTGGGTTCCCCCCTCCCCCTTTTTAATGCCCTGCATGGCTAAGAGGCTGACGGTAAAAAATGAAAAAAGTGACACGAGTAAAAGAATTGACATTTACTGTTCTCTTCCTTACTGCTAGATTAACAACAAGTAGAGATGGCCAAGGAGCCTCTACAACTGAGAGGTTCTTGTCTCAAATAGTTACCTTTGAAAGGGGGCACCAAAAAACAAGGCCATCTTTCCCTGTTCCCTTTCTGTCAATCTCTGTGATGCATGTTTGTTCCAAATTTGGAAAAGTTCTGTTAACTATCAGTTTAGGAGGAGAAGGCACAGCACTGAGTCTAAATGCCATGTTTCCCTTCTCATATAACTGGCACTTTTACACTAGGAAATGTTGCATTGGAAGGGAAGGATTGAAATAAAAGGGATAGTGGAGAGGAATGAGGGGGAGAAAAACAGAGAATATGGGAAGGGAAACAGAAAAAGTCAATTTTATTTAAAAATATTAAAGAAGGAAAACAGTCATATATGGCCAGCTTGTGCAGCCCTTATTCACCCTCGTGAAGGCTTGCTCCTGTGAGAAGTCCCATTTACTTAAATTTGTCTGTTTACACAAAGAGGTGCTGGCAGGGTGAATAAAGGATTCACAGTCCGATCTTTCTAAGGGGTGGAGAAAGGAAGCTCAAAAATATTCTTGATGGGAAACAAAAGATATGCTGAAATATATCTGCATAAAGAAGTCTGCATGACCTGTGATGTGATAGATATAGTATACTCATTAAAATGTAGCTTGAAACAATGTTGTTGTGAACATTTAACGTTAATATGTGATGAATGGTCATCTGATTGAAATATCATTAGGGTGAACAAGGAATGCAAGGAATGCCAGGACCTCGGGGACCCCCTGGAGAAGGATTACTTGGACCAAAGGTATATTATATAAATGAAAGATAATGTCTGGTGCCCAGTTCTTTCCTTGAAGTCATCATAAGGATTCAAGTCCCAGTGGCTTTACTTATATTCTGTGAAGAGAGACTAGGGGATAAAAATTTGCAGTTATGTAACAGAGTATAGTTAGAAATGAGGAAAATAAGTAAACAGTATCACAGATGTCATATTTTATCTTATACTGTAGTCTGATTAGATTCAGGGGTATTCAGAACTTTTTAAATTATGTTTTTACTAATGTGGCAGCAGATTGTTTCATTTGCCATATAGCTCAGTGGAGCCTGCCCCTTGGACCTTCTACTCTTCTGATATAGTATGTCATTTTTTCTATCAGCCACACTTCTTAAAAAGTGAGCCAAAAAGAAATTCACAGTAGAAAGCCAGCATTCCAAGTTCTGCATTTTCTTTCCCCATAGAAATCATAGATATTAATTTGATTACATTTTATACAAGTCAGAGTGAAATATAATTATGAAAAGCTTTATCTGAGTTTAGTAGAATTTAAAGATACAGTTGTAACTAATTCTGGACTTTATCCTGCCAAGCGCAGAACACTTAATTGTAAAGTGCTCAGTGACTACTATTAAAGTCAGTGGAATTTGGGAACATCCAGCCCTTCACAGAATCAGACCTTCGGTTTAATATTTTATAAAGTATCTTTTGGAATATTACAATTTAAATATATTTTGAAATATGACATGTAGAACTTATTACAATAAAAAGGAACAAAACTTGGGTAGAATAGTTTTTAGTCCTTTGTACCAGTTGCACAGGGTTTCAATAACAATTAGATGTAAAATGAAAAGTTTAATTGAAAGATGTGACTTACAGCTACTGTCTAACTAATGCATCATTCCAAGGGTGATCGTGGTGCTGGAGGTGAAAGGGGAAGAAAAGGAGAAAAAGGCAACATGGGTGATCCTGGTTTGTCTGGAGAACCTGTAAGTTCCTACCATTTATCAATGAGTTTGTTGTAAACAAATTTTAAACATCTATAGTATATGACTGTGTCATGTGGTTTCAACTATTTCATGCAAATAATCTGAAATGCTTTTATAAAAAAGTAAAACTATGTCAAGAGTTTAAAGACAGAATTCACTGTAAAATAGACATTCCCAAACTCTGTGAGGCTACGTCTACACTACGAGCCTCTTGCAAAAGAGCAAATGCAAATGGAGCGCTCATTTGCATATGTCGTGCTCTCATTTGCATTTCCTCTTCCTTTCCCTTTTTGCACAAGAGCTTTTTGCACAAAAAAGCGCTGTGTAGACAGCACCTTTTTGCGCAAAAAAACCCTTTTGCACAAGAGCCATTCTTCCTCATTTTTCTTCCTCAAAAAATTAGGAAGAAAGGCTCTTGCGCAAAAGGGGGTTTTTGCGCAAAAAGGCGCTGTCTACACAGCGCTTTTTTGCACAAAAACCTCTTGCACAAAAGGGAAAGGAAGAGGAAATGTAAATGAGAGCACAACATATGCAAATGAGCATTCCATTTGCATTTGCTCTTCCGCAAGAGGCTCGTAGTGTAGATGTAACCTGAAAGTCCATAGGTCAAAACAATAGATGCAACTTCCTTAAAGTGAAAGTCCATAAACAGATCTTAAAGGTATATAACCACATAACTCTGTTCTAAAGTCAAATTTAACTGTCAATCAACTCTCTTCACAAAGATAATAAGCGGGGATAGTGTGGAAAGGAACACTGTTTCTGGGGAGAGACCCCATTAATCATCGCAGCAAGGAATCAAGAGAGAGAGTAAAAGTCTGAATACCAGATCCTTCTCTGCTATTTGCTTAGGGAGCTTTGTTTGTGTTTTTGTTTTTTTAATAAAACTGCCTCAGCCCTTACTCCAAGTATTGATCCTCTCATTGTCCACTTGGGCTCACAAAGGGGAATTATGGCAATCCTAGAGTTTTTGCACCTGCTTGTACAGTAGCAGGTTAGGAGACTGTTCTGAGATCTGGCACTTGCATAGCTTGGCAGTAAGGAAGCACTTTGCATGAGTGCTCCCTTCCCTGGATAGACAGAAACTTTCAGCCCTGCAGCTGGAGATTTGTGTCTCCTGGTCTTCATAGCATTCTGATCATTCCAATGAGACACCGATTACAGCCGCAGACTCACAGGACTTGTTACTGCCCAGAAGGCTGTAAATATTTTGTGCTGGACTGAGCTCTAATATTTTAACAGGACATTTTTATAGAAAAGAGTTCTTATGAGCTAAAGTATACAATGACCAGACAGATAAAATAATGGCTCAGATTACAACAGTGATTATTAATTAATTGCTAATAGCTAAATTATGGTCTTTATTACTAATGATTGCTAATAGCTAAATTATGGTCTTTATTGCAGGGCAGTACTGGACCCAAGGGTGAACAAGGCCTTACAGTAAGTAAATCCTGTTGTAATTTGCACTAATGCAAGATACAATTAAATGCAATGTTTCCTGATTGAGAAAAAAATATAAGTAGTCTCACAACTGGCTATATTATCCACATTTAAGAAACAACACAAAAGGTTTCTAAATCCTATTGATTTCAGTAGGACTTAAACACTCATGTAAATGCTTTGCTGAACTGGGGTCCCTAACACAGGTTAGGCTCAGTAAAGGCATAATTGAGTTCACAGCATGAAAGATTGTGGCACTTTTGTGGCAAATACCTGAAATTAAATGATTGATGAGAATGATATCATAGGTCATCAGAGAGTTCAATTGGCAAATAATATGCTATTTATTTTACTTTTCTTTTCTGACTTAGAGAGAAGATATAATTAAATTAATTAAAGAAATATGTGGTAAGTGTTCAATCAACCTTATATTTCAGATCCTCTTTATTAATTTACTTTTACATTCCTTTCCTTACATTTTATGTATAGAATAAAGTTATCATTGCATAACCAGTGTATGGTAATATGTACTTACAGTATAATGGAAGTGGTATTCTTGTGTATGAACAAGACTAAGTTTAATAATACATTCAGAACTAATAATGATTTGATTTTTATTCTTCCTCTACAGGCTGTGGTATTAAATGTAAGGAAATACCCATGGAGCTTGTTTTTGTGATTGACAGCTCTGAAAGCGTGGGACCAGAAAATTTTGAGATAATTAAAGACTTTGTCACTGCTTTAGTAGATAGAGTAACAGTAGGCAGAAATGCCACCAGAATTGGTCTTGTACTCTACAGTTTAGAGGTTCAGCTAGAATTTGGACTTAACAGGTACACAACCCAACAGGAAGTGAAACAAGCAATTAGAAAAATGCTGTATATGGGGGAAGGTACATACACAGCAACTGCTATCCGCAAAGCCACACAGGAAGGATTTTTTGGTGCTCGAACAGGTGTGCGAAAAGTAGCTATAGTATTAACAGACGGCCAGGCAGATAAAAGAGAAGCTGTTAAACTGGATATCGCTGTCCGAGAGGCCCACGCAACCAACATTGAAATGTATGCAATAGGAATTGTAAATACTTCAGATCCAACCCAAGTTGAATTCTTGCGTGAACTAAATCTGATTGCGTCAGATCCTGACAGAGAACATATGTATCTGATTGACGATTTTAATACCCTTCCAGGTGGGTGTATTTTAATTGTGTTAAATATTTGTAAACTAATCTAGAACAAGCTAAACTTGTCCATTGGAATGAATGACTTGCTTTTTCTTTCTGTGTAAACTTCCAGAGATCTTGACCTAGACGCTGAGCTATACTAGGTTCATATTGAAGGAATGGGAGGCAGTGTGTCATATATCCATCTTTGAGGCCACTGGTTTCTGAGGCTGATAAAGTAGTGTTTTTTTAAGTTAAAGACACTCAACAATTGCTCTAATATACATAGCTACACATGCCCAAATAGGGTCATTCTGAGAGGTGGGAATTGCTGGAGCACTGACATAGTCCAGTAACACCTGCTATGCCAAAGGGCTGATGGAATCATGGTATTGAGCTTCTACATCAGCTCAATGCCAATCACTGATTTCATTGCAAAATGGGAATTCCCAAATAGGAAATTAAGCTAGGTGTCCAGCTGACTTGTACCACTGGCATTGCACAAAGCAGCCAGAATCTGGCCCACTGAGCCAAATCCTGATTTCTTACTCACAAGAAATTCGCTAAGGTAAGCAGGAGTTGGCCTATTAGGAGGTAATAACTAATGATGAAATTTTATGAGATTCAGTACAGTTGAATCTCTAGAATAAGCACAGTTGGTTAAATTTAGAGATATAGATCTTATTTTATGACACAATGTGCCATGTACACTGTAGAACAAGTAATAGAGGTCTTAGGGAGCTAGAAGATTTATGGTAAATAGTCCAGAAGGGTTATCTTTATTGTTATTATGGTATATAAATAACCTTATTTCCTGTTTGAGTCTCTTTGCATAAATAATGCTCTTCTCTTTTCTTTAAGCTTTGGAGTCCAAATTAGTAAACCAATTTTGTGAAGACGAACATGGTGCCTTAATATATAATCGTATTGGAAATGGTGCAAGCATAAGTGGATCATCTATCCATTCATTGTCTTCCAGTTCTTCACATTACTTACTTCACAGCAACAACAATGTTAATGGACAACCAGTTTCATCAGACAGCCATGGAATATCTGTGAGAGAAAGCAAGCTGTCTCAACCATTAGTTCCGGTATGAATAATTCATTGTGATGATCACCTGGCTTGTATGTACATCCTTGTCTGCTAATGAATGCAGTATATCAGATATTTTTTCCCCCTTGTTCCCTCTATTGGTCAAGCTAGTGGAGTTGCTCCTTTACTTCACTGGGGATTCTTAGAGCCAAATGTTGAGAATGAGAGTTCTAATGCAGCATGTATGCAGTTAGCTAACAAATTGTAACACTATCCATGGAGAAAAGAAGGATTATCATCATGTTTAATATAATAACATGTATGCTACAATATAAAGAATGAGATATTGAAAGGGCAATTATACTCTGAAAAGTAACTCTAAAAAGGGGCATTTCTGCTTAGTGATTCTACGTTGCATTTCTTCTGATTACAACAAGGGCTCGTCTAGACTACATTCCTCTGTCGAAAGAGGAATATAAATGAGTCCGATTGAAAGTGCAAATGAAGCACAGATTTAAATATCCCGTGCTTCATTTGCATATTTGCATCCGATCGCTGTTTCGAAAAAGGGTTTTTTGAAAGTGAAACCGCAGTCTACACGCAGTTCTTTTGAAAAAAAAACGTCTTTTACAAAAGAACCCGCACTCCTCATTTTTTCAGGAGTACAGGTTCTTTCGAAAAAAAATACATTTTGATTTGATAGAATTTCTCCTGGGAACTAACCCTGCTGTGGCTCTGCTTGGCTCTTAATACATTTAAAAAGCACAAGTGCATCAGGGGGATCAGGCGCGAGCTGGGAATCAGCTGATTTCCGGCTCGTGCCCGATCCCCTGCTATTCCTCTGTCTCCCCTGCCCCCCTGTGGAGTTGGTGCTGGGGGGGGGACTGGCTTTTAAGCCACCTCCTGCTCTTGCTCCCCCTGCCTTGCTGCCTCTCTCTGATAGAGGCAATAGGGGGGAGGAGAAAGCGACTGGTTGAATCACTAATCGACTCTCCGATAAGCATATGCTTATTATCAGAGAGTTAACTAGTTACTTTCATCCCTAACCTAAACAGCACTGATATTTTCCAAACAGAATCCCATCTAGAATCGCATCAGAATCTTAGGCTCAAAAATCACAGTGACTTATGAATTCTTCACGAGTCCGACCTCCTTTTAGAGACATGATTAAACATACAAGCATTTTAAAATTAAAGAATCTTAAATTTTTGTTTCAGACCAAAGAATCATCTATGGCAGTTTATGAAGGCTATGAAGAGGAGTCTGAAGAAGATGAGCAGCCATCTTTGCCCTCAGTGAACACCAGAGGTATTCTCACAATCATCTTGCTCTTTACAATTTCATCTCCTAATTCTTCTAGGCTGTTGTCATGATGTTGGTACGTCTGTCCCCTCGGGAGGCTGGCATCAGGTATCTTAGGCTGTGCGAGTGGTACTCAACCCTGCATGTGTACTAGTTTGGTGCTGGGGAGAGCTGTGCCTCCCCTCCCAACTATCCCAGTAACTCATCTGGGCTACCTCAATCCATGACCAAACCACACCTGTCCCAGGCCATATGGTCTGGCAGCCCAGAGCAATAGCAACACTCTCTTCCCACAGGGCAGTGTGACCCTGTGGCCAGAGTCAATAAGCAATGTGATGTACACCCCCACTTGTTGTGTTGAGGGACCTGGTCCTCTGCCCTCTTCACTGAGTTCCAACCCATGGCCCTGACGGTGGTAGGTTTATACACCACTGGCTCTGCAAAGATCCTCCCCAAAACACACAGAGCACCAAGGGTACAAGTCCCTGCCCTGGGCTACTTCCTATCCATCTCTCTGGCGCTGTGTTCTCCAGCTCTTCTTTCCAGACTGGGGACGTCTGATGCTGTTCCCTGCTGACTCATGTTGGCATTTTGGTGTACTTGTGGTTCCTCTTCAGGAGCTCTTGTGGCACCTCCTTCCTCATCGACAATCGGCCCAGATTGAGCTGCTCCACAGGCCTTTATACCTGGCCTCCAGCTGGAGCATGCCCAGCATAGCTGTGGGAATGGGGCCTCCTCAACTAAGTGGACAGGGTTAACCCTCACAGCCCTAGGGTAGAATTGGTATGCCCCTTCACTGCCAGACAAAAATCAAGGGTTTTTTTTCCTCGCCTGCGGTAGGGGTATCCTCACTGCCATCATCATCCTCATTATCACTGCTGGACATAATACTGTCATCATCTATTTCATCAGCTGCCTCTGTGTTGCTTACACTCAGACCAGGTTATACATGATACCCAACTTTTCATTTTGATTACTTAAATATTAACCTTTAATAGAGAGCCTAAATCAGAATTACTTCTTCAGGACTAACTAATTTCTTAAGTTTGGTAATGCTATCACAGGGAGGTGGGGCCATTTTAGGATTTTAGAGTGGACCCAGTCTTGTTGCTTCCCCAGCATCTTTGTCCAACATGCCTTGCCTTCCCCAACTGTCAGGTTCTGCTGTTTCCCTTATGCTAGAAACCAGAACAGAGGCCAGGTGCAGAAAGAATCTGAAGGATATCTGCAGTTGGAGAGGTGGGTGTGATTCCCAGTACAAGGAGATATACTTGCACTAGCTCTCATCAAGCTAGCATGCTAAAAATAGAACGTAGTTCTGGCAGCATGCACTGTCAGACAGAGATCCTCAGTATATACCCATCTGTACGAGTGGGCGGTCGCCTACCCGGTCAGTCACGGGTCTAGCCACCCCCTCCCCCTCGTGCTTCCTTAGTCCAGTCTTAGTTCCTAGTCCCGCTCAGTAATTCCTGCACTGGCGTCTGGTGCTTGACACTGCGGCCGACTCTGGGGATGTGGGGTAGGGGAGCCCAGGCCTGCCCTCTCTCACAGGCTCCAGCCCAGGGCCCTAAGGACAGGTTCGCCCAATCTGTCCAGCCGGCGGGGCTCGTGCCCGAAACTCACCGGCTCACCAGCTCCAAGCCCCGCCCTGGGCTATATCCTACCTCACAGTCCTTTCCTGGCTCTGACCCAGCCCCGGCTGGTCTCGCCTCCCTCCGTGGACCTCTCTGGCTGCCGGGCTGCCTCCACGCTCCTCCTCCTCCTCCCTGTTGCTGCCAGCTTTTCCCTTTTTAAACGCTGCACCGGCGCCTTGCCGGCGTGACGTCACTAGCCGCCCTAGTCGCAGATGGAATGCTGGGCCGGCCCCAGCCCCGCCCATCAGCTGGGTTGCAGCTGCCAAGCAGCAGGCACAAACCTCTCGCGGTTCTCGGCCGCTTCCCAGGAGCGCGAGCGCTACCGCTGGGTCAGTGCGGGGCGGATCTGCCTCCGCAGGGCAGGGGCAGTCCGTCCCGTCACACCATCACAGATGCTAGGCACATACTCGGAGCATCTAATCTATCCAATAGCTCACACTGCCTCGGCTATGTCCTTTTATTTCTGATTTATTTTATGAGCTCTTCTATTATGTACAGTACTTGATTGCCACCTAATGCCATTAGAAGTGAAGTGTGCACATCTTAGAAAAACCACTGAATACAGTTTCTAATGGAAAGGCTCTAGTGCCACGCTACAAGAATATGATTATGTATTGCAGATAGTTAACAAGGATTTTAGAACCAGAAGCTCTCTCACACAGTACCAATTTTAAAATATGGTACATACTTCCTAATTTTGGTAGTTTATACCCTTTTCTCCCTCTTAATTTCTGGTAAGACTGACTACTGACAATTAGCTTCCAATATTATCAGACTATTTCCCTACGTTTTTATCAATAGCCCATATAGATGATAATTTTATAGCACAGTCTTTCTAATTATAATTTTATAATGTGTGAAGGTGTTTTACCTTCACTCACAGGAATACAATAGTTTCTAGAAAAGGCCCCCATTTAATTAGGCTTCCAGGTTTCAAATAAATCTTTAAAAATTTCAACAGAAACTTTAAATTGTTCTATCACATAAGCAGCAATAAAACAGTTTAAAAGGTACAAACATTGAGATGTAAATTATTTTCACAGGTTGAGAGCTCTTTTTATCCTTTGTTTTTTAAGATAATATCCTGCTTCCCCGATGTAAACTGAGGTTAGATCAAGGGTCATGCCGTGTCTATATAATAAAATGGTACTATGATAAGCAAGCCAATGCCTGTGCTCAGTTTTGGTATGGCGGTTGTGATGGAAATGCTAATCGCTTTGACACTGAAGAGGAATGTAAAAAGACCTGTGTATTTTATTCTGGAGGTAAGTTTGTATATATTTTTCTACGTTAAAAACTATTATTTTATGTGATTCCTTAGTACAGTATATTCTGGTATCCTATATTACATACCAAAAAAAGTTAAAGAATGTTAATAACATAAAGTCAAACATTCAAAAGGTAGAAAATACTTAAATTAAGGCTGCCTGTGTAGCCATAATGTTGCCCCCTTGTGCATAAGCAATATTATATGAGCTTTAATTACATGACAACATATTTTTTTCTCTACAGGACTATATTCAGTAGTACATAGAATGTAAGCTTTCTGGGTAAGGATTACCTTTGCCCCACATATCTGTGCAGCATTTAGCTCAGTGGGATACCAATCCTTGATTGGGGTTCCTAAGTAGTTCTGTTAAATAATAAAATAGAATGAATAGGCAAATGTAAATTGTACATTTGGCTTGGTTTACGTAACCTTTTATTTATGTAGAAATCTCTGCACAGTATAATTATGTACTTCCCCCTCTGTTACAGAAAACTAAAGTTTGATGTGAATTCTGCAACAAAGACGACTTCTTTATTTAAGGAAAAACTGAGTTTTACACAAGTGCTGTTTTACACTCATAAAGGATTTTGGTATAATACTTAGATAACTGTGCATCATGTTACAATTTAAAAGCAAATATTACTCAGGGGTTATCACTACATATAACTGTCAACTTGATATCTGCCAATATTAGAGCTTCAAAGAGAAGGACAAATATTTTAAGAGAAAGTGGCACAGAAAATCCTTGGGTTATTTACCGAGCTCTACCAACTGTCTTGTCTGTTCCATTATCTTGGGAAAGTCACATATGTCTTCTGCGGTACAACTCACCCATTTATAAAATGGAGAAATACTACAGTCTTTCCTTAGGGACAGAGTCTGAGGAAGAAGAACTTTTAAAATCACTATGAAAGTCACTATGTACATGCAAAGTATTATATTTGTAACTGTACAAAAACATTGTACTTCTGATTTAAACACTTTCTTCAGTTTCCATTGGCTAGTAAGATACAAGATGAATCTATTAAATGTCTACAAACATATGTAACTGATTATAACAAAAACTGTCACTGCTAAAATAGATACATTCAGTCCTTAACTAGTTCTTTAATTTTTAAAGTATTGTGTTTTTAAAGCGGTGTTTGATTTTTAAATGCATTTTAATATTCTAACCTCAACATTTTTTAAAATCTCATTTAACATCTATTCAGAAGGTCAACAGCAGCCTAGACTTGAAAATAAGAAGCCATTTTGCATTCATGTTTAAGTCCCTGCCAATATGCATTGCTGTATTTATGTGCATGCATAACAGTGTATGATGATTTTTATTAATTAAATTCTGTACTACAAAATCTTTTGTTTTTATTGCTAGTAGAAAGAATTGATAATAGCAGCTCTGCAGAACTAAAGAGTTGTTTTGGTATGACCTTTAACAATCACACAGGTTCATGTTAACGCTTAACATGTTCTTGCTGCAGTAACTGAGTACTTCAACAGGACTGAACCTTCTAGGTCAGTGTTTCTTAAACTTTTTAAGACCGAGGAACAACAAACAATATTTTTTTTATGAGGAACACTAAGTATTTTTTGTTGAGGGGGAAAAAAGGTGGGGGGGGAGTTATTGAGCAAAAAAAAAAAAAAGAGGACTCCAAGGCTTATTAAGAAAATAAATAAATAATAAAACATCATGGCCCCTTTCAGAGTGAGTGTGGTACACAGTTTAAGAAACACTGTTCTAGGTTATGCTCTCCACTCATATACACTCTGCTAGCTGCTGTTCTGGCACCCTATGGACGACCACTCCCTGCAGTTGTTACGTGAATACTTTTAATAAGT